GAGAATTCCGATGGTAGTCATATGTATATATTAGGCAATGTGGATCCTTAGCCACAAATCGAGAATGATGCAATGAGTCGCTGTGGGAAAGGTGTCGGGGGAAGTCTTTGAGTGGCAAAAGCTTACAAACTGACCAACTTCCATGAAACGTTTTTCTCACCATGCTGCCTCGCCATGCTACCTGACCCACGTCCATAACGCCACGTTCAGGACTTCTGCCACTCGTAACGTGTACGCCTTACCGCACTATCGAATCATCGAAATAGTGGCGTTGCTGTCTAACTGAAGATCTCAAGGGAATGCAGGGCTTGCACGGCTCCGCCCAGTCGGCTAGAAACCCCACATTTACGCTGTGTCTGATGTATTTTAGTGCAACTCTAATCAAATTTGGGCGTTAACACTACAGGCTGCCTATATCCCCCCCCCCGCAAGATCCGATCATGGGTCCGCCACGTGCCGGTCAGCACGAGAAGGCGCCGTTCCGCGGCTGTAGTCTCTTACCGGCGGTGCGACGAGGGTCGGTTGGACTTCCGGCGCGCCGGCCCGCCGTCCCCGTCAGGTTCCGGCGGGCACGCGCGGGCCGCCGCCAGCGGGCCTCCCCCGCCTGCGCTGACGCACCCTGCCGCCGGCGCCCTGCAACGTGAACCGACCCGGCCCCGGCCGACCCCCCCCCCCCCCCACGTGACCGTGCACGTGGGCCGCGACGCGGGCTGGCGTTCGTGCTCGGGGAGCTGGACGGTAACGATGTGTTTGATCGTACGATTTTGTGCTTGGCTGGAAAACTGCCGCTTCTGGATAGGCGTGAGTCACGCTCTGGCCTTCTGCCTCATATCAGTGCTTTCCATGCGGTCGATTGTTTCTGGAATGAACTCGGCTGGCCAGAACCGCCATTGTTCGACCTCTCTCTCACGTCACTTATCATGATGCAGTAAGTTATCCATCTAACATGTAACACGCTGCGATGCCCCATTGCCACATATTTAGAAACGGAGTGCTGGGGTATGAGCAGCGAGCCCCACACTTCAGGCGCCGTCTCCACTTGAGCAAAGGCTGCAGTCTCCCTTGTGCTGTAAAACGGCGGCGGCAGCCGGCCCCTGCTGCAGGCAGTGACGTTCCTCGTCGTCTTCTCCGGTGTGCACGTGCACTGTGGGAGTCTGCAGTGGACCGTCCGCGCGGGCCGGTTCTATTTTTGCGCTCGTCTGGTCAAAAGCCTCATTAAGTGCTCCTGTGGAAAAAATGAAGCTCCATGCTGCTGCAGAAGACATGTAAGGAATGAAGCATTTCGAAAAGGTTTTTTGCCTCTCTGGGATTATGGGGCCCCTCGCACCGGCTCTCCAGTGGCGAGAGTGGGGCCAGCAGATGAAAAGCGTCGGCGATGCATCCTGAAGGATAGCTCCTCATCCATCCTGCAAATATGCCGGCCTTGTATTGCATTAACAATTGCATTGCAGCCTTGTTTTGGCACGACTTTGGCTCTCCATGGCGTTTCATCCATTACCATGAGCAAACATATCTTTCTTTGTGACGTTAAATGGCGCGCCAATATTTTTGTGACATTACGTCACCATCACATGACATTGTGACATTACGTCACCTTCCAAATAACGTAGATCTCGCCGGACGTAATCAACATCATCAGATAGCTGGAACTGCGGCAACAATCATCGGAGTGCGATGAGCATCATAACCGTCCACAAAGCGGGGTTTTCCATCAGAGTCGATAACGCTGCATGATTTCGCCGAACGATAATGATGTAACTGCGTCACCTTCAGCAGCGCCTGTTCCCATGTCGTTTGGCAGCCTTTCAATCGCATCCCCTCCTAACGACCAGCGTTGAGGTCGCTGTGTCATATACTGTGAATTGGACCGGAAACCGGCAACAAATGACCGTGACCCCCCCCCCCCCCCCCCCCCCCAGTGCCGGCCCGCTGCAGAGGGGCCGAGACACACTCGACAGACGGCTGGAATCCCTCAGGGACGACTTGTTGGAGCGGCGCCCAGCTTTGCTCTCAGAAAGCGGCTTCAAAATATTTATAATTCTTGAGCCCTTTGGCCCACAAAGCGCTGGCTCCTACGGGTCTACGGAGGAATATCCAGGGCTTCAGGCGGATAAAATGCGTTGCATAACAAGGAGATGAAATGTAGTGCAATGTAAGAACGCCCGCTTGAAAATGAGGTGACTTATTTGGTTATGATCAACTCGTAATTAGTTGGTGTAGGAACCGCGGGTCCAAGCGGGTGATGTGTCACCTGTATTTATCGAGTCTTGACGAATTAACCTTGTCATAAAGCATTAGCAGAACTGACTTTAAGAAAATTTGTCACACACTTTTTGCAATGTTTCTGTCGGTAATGCCAGTGCGACGCATTTTGCGGCATGGCACGATCGAGGTTCCAACAGACGGGATCATTATCATGCACTGCACATGATACAGAAACGTAAGCGACCCAAGTCCGTCTTCGTTGAAAACCGGAACAAGAAGCTCGCATCATTGCATGGGAACATCTCCCTTTGATGGGAAATGCTGGAAGATATTGAGAGATGTACAGAAATACTTACTGTTCGGTTACGTATTTACCAGTGACTGCTGGAATACAAGCTGGCCATGAGCCTAACAATTTCGGTCACAGTTTTGCTTAAGTGGAACAGCTAAACAATTTTGGTGACTGCGTTGCAGACATTTGGAAAATGCAGATAGTTTGGGCGCATCTTGACCATAATAGATCAGACAATGTGCATTTAAAGTTATCGAGCCTCACCTTGCCTCCGCTGGGGCGCAGCCTGTTGTGTTCGGGGCCGGGTAAGATAAAGCTGAATGATACTGGCCCGCGCTAGGTTTAGTAAAGACGCGCCTATGGGCCGACCGGCGCCAGAACCGTTTGATATTTTATAAACGACACGTCTGCCTATGCCGTACATTTTGTTTCACGTCTACACCAGGGCTGATCGCTGACGTCTATCGCCAGTCCGTAAAGGGCCAATGCGAGGGACTCCATAATTTGCGCAGGATAGCCCGAGACAGGCTACACGCATCGACTGACCGACCCTCATTTTTGTCAGCACGACTCTCCGTTTTGTCCACCACCAGACATAGTTCTTCTCGTGTTGCTGCACACCTGGCCGTTGAGATATGGGCCCGACTGGTGTTTGCAAAGTTACAAGCTCGTTAGAAAGGCGACCGGCCGGACTTAAGTCTGGTCTGATCGGACCAGGCCGCACAAACCGCCAAAGTTCCGGCTATTTGACGTCAAGACTCCCTCGACGCGCAGGCTTGTTTTAATTATTTGCTGTATGATTGCATATTCAGATGGTTGGATTAGCTTAAGTTCAAAAACACTAGCAGCGGAATAAGTCACAATAAGTTATCGTATAGTGTGATCGGCTCTTAATTGCAGGCAGTCAAGCCAGTCGATAAACTACATCGAAGTGATCTAAAAACAACGAAGGGAACTTCGGTTTACTGCGTATTGAGGCAATAACCACCATGCAAGCCTTAACGGATGACGTTATAACTCATCGACCGCATCAAACATCGAAACTTCCACCACAGAATGTCTCAGACTGATTACATGTCAGGTGCTGAAAATTTGGGCAAGTTACCTGAAGGGGGAGAGAGGGGGGATTTTCTCTCTCCTTGCTACCGATTCCCAACATACAACACCATTCACCTGTTTTTTTATTCTAGAAGAAAGTTGGTTCCGAATAAGTAATCTCGTCAGGGACGCGTGTAGTTTTATAGCGCCGAACAGCTTTTAAAAGCACGCAAATCTCTGAATTGAACAGTTTTGGGCTCCACATCCTCCTGGGCTTTATTAGCTTCGATAGTTTTGGTAGGAATCCCTTACGCTCCTTCCACGTTGTGCCGCAGGACGGCGGGAATGCTCTCGTCCCTTCCACCTTCCTTTTCCTTAGAGTTGACTGGTCTGGTGATATCATCCAGACCCTCTTTTTTCTTTTTGCTCTCACGTATTGCTCAATTTCGCCCGTTGTCAGCGTTTTGTAATCGACCTTGTTCCTGTTTCCCGGGAGCAGATTTAGGTGGATACGCTTGGCCGCGCCACGGAACAATGTTCAACTTTCCTCTGCAATACCAGATTGAATAGCACTGACGCACAGCTTTGTTTGTTTGTTGGATACCTACCGCACAGCAATACTTTGGGTTGTGATCGCAGTTAGCCATTCATTTTTAGCACAAGGCGTCTGAGACATAACAATGAACCATTGTGTCTGCTTGATATTTTTGCTTGCGGTTTGTTGCGCATATTATCTTGCTGATCCAGTTCGGTCTGTTTCTGTGTCCCTGCTCTGTTTGACAGCTGCCATGTCTGACCGGATGTGACGTGGTCCATGCTGTTTCCCATCTGGTGCGTTTGACCTGGTGTGGTATGACCCGTCTTCGTCTGTCAGCGGACACGTCCGATGTGGTCTGGTCCGCCTCTTTCTGTCGGCTGCCTTTGACCTGATGCGGTCTGGCTGGTCTCTGTTTGTCGGCCGCGTCTGACCTGATGCGGTCTGGCTCGTCTCTGTCTGTCGGGCGCGTCTGACCTGATGCGGTCTGGCTGGTCTCCGTTTGTCGGCCGCGTCTGACCTGATGCGGTCTGGCTCGTCTCTATCTGTCGGGCGCGTCTGACCTGATGCGGTCTGGCTGGTCTCTGTTTGTCGGCCGCGTCTGACCTGATGCGGTCTGGCTCGTCTCTGTTTGTCGGCCGCGTCTGATTCGATGTAGTCTAGCCCATCTCTGTTTGTCGGCCGCGTCTGACCTGATGCGGTCTGGCTGGTCTCTGTTTGTCGGCCGCGTCTGACCTGATGCGGTCTGGGTCGTCTCTGTTTGTCGGCCGCGTCTGACCTGATGTGGTCTGGTCCGCCTCTGTTTGTCGGCCGCATCTGACCTGATGCGGTCTAGCTCGTCTCTGTCGGCCGCGTCTGACCTGATGCGGTCTGGCTCGTCTCTGTTTGTCGGCCGCGTCTGACCTGATGTGGTCTGGTCGGGGCCAGCAGGGCAGCACCAGTACCGCGCATATGGCCTGGGCCAGCGACCGTTCCTCGACACCCGCTTCTCGGACCACCTCCGCGACCTGGAGCACTACCGGCGCAAGTCGGACGGCCTGCCCTTCAAGGTGCACGGGGCGCCCGTCTCCACGCCAGGTCAGCCATGCGACAGACAGCTGTCGGCTGTTGAACAGCGCACCAAACCTCGCGCCCGACAGCTAGTACTGGGAGGGGGGGGGGAGTTCAAGGCGCACACAGAGGAGCTGGCCGCCAGTGTCATAGCCGCTTCCCTTCCCGCGCACGCGGGCCGCGCCGCGCCGCGCCGCGTCGACGAAAGCGGGGCGGACGGCGGCGCTGCGGCCAAACCGGCGCGAGCTCTCTCGCCGGTGCTATAACGAGCGCGCTGCTCCGCCGACCGGCCTGCCGCTGCGGCGCGCCCCTGCAGCTAACAGCTCCCAAATTAGCACCATATAAAGATAAACAAGGATTCAGTACCGGAAGCCGGGAAATACGACATCCTTTCCGTTATGCCGGCCGTCGACGGTGCATTGTGGGAGCGATGGCGGCGCCCGGGGCGGTCCGGGTCGGACACCTCCGACCTCGGAGGCGGCCGGCGCGACCCACCCCCGACCTGGCAGCCAAACAATAGCCCGCCCGCAGCCACCGATGGCTGACTTATCTCATATTAATTCGTTTATATGTTGAGATCATGCAAACAATGTGGTGCCGGTGGCAGGCTGGGGCAGGAGCACAGCCAGCTCGGGCGTCAGTGGCCGGTGTACCGACAGGGAAAAACGCGGCCAGCAGCATGGCGTCGATAACCGCAGACTAGCTACAAGCACTTTTGGCCATCAAATCTTGATGTATCGTCGGTCGAAGTTTCTGAATAGCGACGGGAACGTCAATATAGAAGCAGGTAATCGGTGCCGAAACCGATATCGATGGCGGTGTGACGTCTCCTTCGAGTTGTGCCGGTTCGGGAACGCGTTGGGCTGGATATGCCTGTTGTACTGATAATACGGTGATCAATTCATCGTCTCAATTAGAGTAAATTATGTCGTCTCGGGTATGATTGTATCTGCTCGTTCACTTCGTCTTCAGCTCCTTCTTTTTATCTGTTTCACATCCGTACGAATTCATCGAAGATTACGTCGGCGTTATAGACAGCTGAGAGGGAGGCCATTAAGCAGGTGCGCTTCTTGTTTTCTGGCATCTTCCTGCCATCAGTGCTCAGGTGGTCATAATTCCTGCAACATCCACACGGCTGCACGATGGACAAAAGTCAAAGCCCCAGGGACGCCCTCAGTGTTTGTCCCGTGTCGGAGCACGATGCACAAAAGCCGGAGTTTCAGGGCCGTTCTGTTTTTGGCTTTGTCTCGTGCTGTGGCGAACCAGCACGAAGACCCATGGAAGCAACCACTTTTGGGAACGCAAAACATATGCATTATTGAGCTCGTGACTGAAGCGTTCCAGATTCGATGCCGGCGCCCTGGATGTGCCGGGTGCACTGGTTGCATTGCATGCCCGATTACAGACATACCCGAAACCTGTCCAGCCCGCGGGAGTGGTATGGTATGCGAGGATCGCCGCTGGGACGTCTGGGACATTGTTCCGGCGGGCCGCCATCAATCTGAGTGTTGTGATTGCCCAGGTGCGGGGTGGGAGGGGACGGGCAGGACAGGGTGGCGCGGGCAGCTCACGCCAGCCAGCCATCAGCTGCCCCCCCCCCCCTCTGTCGCGCGCGCGCGACACACACACACACACACACACACACACACACACACACACACACACACACACACACACACACACACACACACACACACACGACGGGCGATCGGCCTCGCCGATTCTGACGGCCGATCTAACATTGAGTATGCTGTGGGGAGGGGGCATCGACAGGGAATGGTCGTAGCTCTAAGTGGATAATAATTGCGATATTAGAAATGGCCCTCACCCGGCGCCGGCGCCTCATGGCTACACACAAGGCGCTGGCGCCCATTGCCCATTGCCCTTACGGACTCCATGCGTTACTGTCATTGCTTCATAACGTTGGAATATAGACGATCTGCGGGTCGCTGCAGACGTGGACGTTCAACGCCCCGACAAAGGTGGCGTCGTAATCGGTTAGCCCGCTCCGAGCTGTCCTGCATGGCCGGCTGCCACGGCGGCTGGGCCGGGGCCGAGGCCGGGGCGGGGGGGGGGGGGGGCCGGGGCCGGAGCCGGAGCCGGAGGCCGGGGCCGGAGCCGGAGCCGGAGCCGGAGCCGGACCCGGACCCGGACCCGGACCCGGACCCGGAGCCGGAGCCGGAGCCGGGAGGCGGGGCCTGGGCCGGGGCCGGGGCCGGGGGCCGGAGCCGGAGGCCGGAGGCCGGGGCCGGAGCCGGAGCCGGACCCGGACCCGGACCCGGACCCGGACCCGGAGCCGGAGCCGGAGCCGGAGGCGGGGCCTGGGCCGGGGCCGGGGCCGGGGCCGTGGTGGAGCGAGATGGGCCCGGCTCGGCCCTGCTCCACCGCCGGCCCATCTGTCACCGGCCGTCCGCAGTCGGCTCACTTATGCCCGGCCGTCACTTGCGGCCTTACCCACATCAAATATTGAGCTGGCGGCGGGCCCAGCCGGCCCCCACGCGACAAACGCGACCGGTCGGCCGTAACTAGCCGCCTCGACAGGGCCATTGGGCTCCATTCACCGGGTCACGGACCGCGGCCGGAGCCTGGCGGTGAGCGGGCGTGGCGGCAACACTGCCGCGCCCATCGGGCCGCTCACACGAGCCGAATGGCTACTCCTTTGTAAATAGCCATGCACGGGCAGCATGTGCGTGTCAGATTGGATGCTTGTAGTACTGCGTGGAACAGTATTTTCATTACGTCGCCCCAAAAGCTGATTTCGGGATATCGCACGGTATATTTAGGCGATGAGCAATCATCACATCGGGTGGCAGCCAATGTAGGCTGGAAAACATTGTAGATACAGCCTGGTGGGTGGATCTTCTGCCAACGCTCAGTAGTGAGCGCTTGGCAAAATTAGTTCAGAAATTTGTGCACGCAACACAAGGTATAATAATAATAATACAGTTAATTTTGCACCACTAGTTAGCACATATCTTGACACAGGTTTGCTTGACACGTCAGAGGACCCTATCCGGGGTTAAGACCCAGTTCACGCCTTTGGTGGCGATCACAGATCAACTGACCCAGGTGGGCGATAATGATGTTCCGATCATCTGATCTGCTGACTGCCTGGAGGTCCAATGCAATGAGATCGTACTCATATCGGATATGCACATGTGCTCTGGCAATGATGCCACTAACCCTACTTCGCTTGCACGCAATGCCTTAACAATGCTGTTCTCATTGGACATGAGTCCTTGGTTGAGCATCACCTGCCGACTAGCTACTAGCATGGGACAGGGAAGAAGCTCAAGCTCTTTACACAGGTCGTGGTTCCTTGAAAATTGAGGTAGACACATAAAAATGGGAAGATTGAAATCGTGCAATGTCAAACGCCATCAAACACATTTCGAGCGCCAATGGCGCTCTAAATTGACACTTTTTGCAAAACATTTGAAATGCGCTCCGTGTTGCCGAATTCTGCAATCGTACAATTTTTGTATTTGAATGGATGGCAAATACGTGTGCACGACAAATATGTATGTCAAAGAACTTCAAGTTGTTTCAAAGATTATGACAAATAGCAACCAAAGGTTATATCTTTGACCCATCAAAAAGGCCACACTTACCTTGTGGTGATATTGGTGTCCACATCTGAGGCAACTTTATGTAGGTGGAGAATAAGTACACGCTTCTTGCTAATGCTACGTTTTGCACGACATCGGTGAGCATTAGATGGTATTACAAACCAATTCGGACCCCATCGTCCCTTTCAGCGGTTTTTTAGAGGCTGTAAAGTTGGGATTATTACTTCAAAGACTTCAGGGAGTCGAAGATTACTGCAGTGCCCAATGTGCAAAAGGGATGAACAGTGTTAACACAAACACCGCGGGTAATTTGTGCCTAAATGTCTGAACACGCGGCAGGGAAGCGAGATGGAAATAGCTGTTGAAAGTTGCGAGGAAAAAGGCGAAGGTGCGGCCCCCGGGAGCACCTAACTAGTTGTGTCTTCCGCAACTAAAATCAACACATACCGTTACTGACACCCGCCCGGATGTGTGGGCAGCGACTGATAACCGGTGCTGTGCCTGGAGGCTATTACACGTGCACGACTTCGATGCCGCGGCGGCGCTAGTGAGCCTGGCAGCAGTACAGTTCGCTGCTTCTTCACGACGAACAAAGAACAAAAGATAAAACACCTCCTGCGATGAGGTCTCTGGAAGGTTGTTATTTAAAACAGTGCACATCACAGATTACGAACGTACGGCATATGCGTACATATGTCATGCATCGTCCAGTTTCGGTTTTTACTTCAGGTCTTGTAAGGCAGCTCCGTATAACTAAGCCCGACCTATTTTCAGCTCATGCACCTGTCTCTGGCACCAAATACCCGGTTGAGCCGGATCTTTCTAATCGCCAGCTCTGCAAAAGCCTTTTTTCAACTGTCATTGGAGATAATTTAATTGGCTTTGAAATGCTCAAGCTTCCCTGAACAATTAACTGTGTAGATTATATTTGATTAAGGTGTCAGGCATTTCACCGACACTATTTTGTGAAACAAAATGGTGTGCTTGTTTATGCACAATCAGGCAATAAACACGCTGTGTGCATAAACAGATAACTAAATCAGGCATTGCCCGTGAATGAATGTTTGATGAACTGTCGCGGTTATCGGGTGGCCGCCTTCATGAATCAAAATTGGACCGCTTAACCTCACAACCCCAAACACAAGCACCTAGCTTCAATTGAAAGAAACGCTGCCACCCCCAGAACAGCTCGAAGAGCCGGCAGCCATATGCCACAAACCACAAGCGGGACCGAGCCAGTCAAAAAGAGCGGCGGCCGGCCATCACGGCGAGCCGCTATTTAGACGGACGGCGGTGCCACTGCTCGAGTCGGCGCCGTCCGGAGCCGTGGCGCGGAACAAACGGCGCCATCCATCGTGTGTTCTAGAAACGCGCAAGCACGTTGCCGGCCACCGCAGTACATGGCGTCCGCCCGCCGCCCGGCCGGCTGTCGGTGCGCTCGCCGGCGTCCCAGCAGCTTTCTCAGCACAAATGGAAAACAGTTCTATTACCACTGAGGGCGGTGGAGCGTAGCGACGCCTGAG